GAAATATTTCATACTGGAAGTGAGGTTAAATTGTTAGCAGAACAATAAACCTTAACATAGTCGGAGCTGTACTGAAGTTGTTTCAATCAAAGCTTACTGTAAAGTCATATTCATCAAGTTAGCATAAAGGTTATGATGACACTTGTTATTCAGATTACCATCATATTTTAGAAATTACCTTTAAGCAGCTATTATACATACTTTCCCATTAAGTCCACATGCCTGTGCTAATCTTTTTATTGGTCTGATCTAACACTCTAATCCTAAATGTCTTTATCTTTATTATTCATAACAGTTGGCAGAAACCAAGGCTTTAAAACATCAGTCTTTGTGTAATTAAGCTGAATGGTGTTTTACTTAGTAAGTCCAGCTACTAAAATAAATGAACTATTCAATAGTATCCTACATGACTATATTCATGCATCAGAATGGCCCAGTCAAAGAATATCTGGGAAAAAAAACTCGGAAATTCATGTTTACAGACCCCACCTGTCCAATCTGACTGAGCTTGAGTTATTGAGAGTCGGCATGTACAAAACCGGCAAAAATATATCCCCAAACGGTTGCAGCCGTAATCCGAGCCAAAAGGAGGTTCGTTGCTCAGGGAGACTGAATAAAAATCCATACTACACTTTTTTTTTTTTTTTTTTTTTAAAAGCTGAACGATGACTCTACCTGCCATAATCTTGCAGCTTTTACAGCATCTCTAAAACAGCATTGGGATAAAGTTGGAGTTAGCGTAAAGGAGCCGCTTGCAAGGTTTTTTTTTTTTATGTTTTTGCCCAAGTGTTTACACAGGGAAAATAATGTTTAAAATTTTCTACACCTCTAACTCCCTGGCTGCAACTCAACACTCAACTACAAAATCTAAAAGGTTGAACAAAGGTTGGAGCAGAGCACGCTGTTGGCACATTTGTCTCCATGCAGCTGATTAACATCAGGACTCAGGTTTCCCACACACCTCATGTAAAATCCAGCCACATTTCACTCAAAGGCCCCACTCTGAAAACCTGTTCTATATTAAAGAGCAAAGGGCTCCTTTGGATTGCACTAACTGTAGCTCATTATTTCAGAACCAGGAAAAGCTGAGCACTAGCAGAACGGCTTTGTTGCAATTATCCCTATGATCTGCCTACACATCGGCATTCGTTTCTGCCAAGGCCTTAGCCTCGTTATTTCCAGAAAGCATGCAAACATGCTGTATGGAAACTTAAAGATTGAGGAAAAGACTTGCGGGGGTGTGGGAGTGGATGGATTATTCGCGACAAGCCTTTTAGACGACATTATTACATTTTCCTCAGCAGCAGCAACAACAAAAATTCAACAGTAAGTATCTGCCAAAGGTTTGCCACATGTGAAAAATGAAATCCTTGCTATATTTTTGAAGCAATGAATAAAAAAAAAAATTACTTTTTTCAGTTTTTTTTTTAAAAAAAAAAAAAAAAAAAAAAAAAAAAAAGATGAGACAAAACATTTAAAAATGGTGCTATGTATTCATTCTAGCTGTAAATCTTAAGGGAAACCAACCGGGGAACGTTTCTCAGCCACAGTTTTTCCAATAGCCCCTTATGCCTGATTTGTCTAATATTTGTATCCTTTTCACCTTCCTGCCCCGTCACTGGGTCTGGGGTATTTTGAGGCTGCCTTCATTCAAACCTGATGGGAATTGGAGGTCTGTGCAGCATCTGGTTGACTTGGAAACAGCTGTGTTTTCACAGATCTGACTGAGGGTTTATAGCTCCTCTGAGCAGGCCAGGGTTCACCCGGGCTGTTTGCCTAAACAATGTTAAATCTCACGTCTCCCATGGCTCTCTGAAACACCATTACTGTCACAGTTACTCTTATTTCTTTCAGACACTCTGTATGTGAAATTGGCCATTTGAGAGACTTTAAATATTATGAGCTGGTTCTGTTTAAGACATAAATGACTGTTTTGACGTCCTAAAGTTGTTGTAATTGCTGTATGCAGTGTAAAAGTAAAAAAAAAAAGAAAGAAAAGTAAATAAGTTAATAGTGCTTGCCACTTGGTGCATAGCAAAACGAGTATTTTTTTTTTCTTGCTTGGGCTTGTTTAGCCCAAACAAGCAATGAAAACATGATGTTTGAGTTTTAATTTGAAATGCCATCAGGGTGATTTTTCTCAGTCCTACTAGAAATGTGGAACTTAGATTTGCAATAATGGATTCTGAGAAAAACCTGAACTTTTATTTTGAAGATGCTGTGCAGTATGTGGTTTTTTGGAAAGGCTTGACAATACATTTTTAATCTTTAGTGAGTCTACTAGTAGTGATCCAAACTATAAAATACAACTATTTAAAGTAGAACTTTTTTTAATGTTATCTGTGAGTTTTATGTTGAAATTTCAACACAATCTGTTCCTTTTTAATTACTGGTTTGGTAAAATTATTAACAGAAAAAACTGCAATCGTGGGGTTTATTTCTTCTTTTATTTTGAAAGACCAACATAATTCCTTTTTTCATTTCTAGTTTACGTCCATTAGCAAAGAGGTCCCTACATTTTAAAAGAAAAGTCAATTAAATTAAACTTTGAGACTTGAGACTTTTTTTTTTTTTTTACAAAATAACTATTTGTGACCATAATATGTGACAAAAGCAGAAACGTAGTTAAATTTTAGAAAACCTTTAACTGCAAACAAAGGAAATCTACATTGTAAAAAGGGATCATTTTCTCAAAACCTTGTCTGACTTGTATGATAATCTTGGGATAACTGTAGGGGCAGCGGGAATTGAAAAGAAAACGTATTACTCAACAACCAGAACATTGAGCTGAATCCGCAGGTGAAGGCTTTCAAAGTTGGGCAAAATATGCATTCTCCTTGCTGAGGGGCCGCCAGCTTCAGTCCTCAAGAGCTACTATCCAGCAACATTTGGATGAGTCGCTGCACCGACACACCTGATATCAGAAGCACCAAGACAGAGCCACTAAATAACAGCCGCTTCTTTTTACCAAACATGTGACAAACTAGCTACACCAGTGACTGAGCTTAGCGATTATAGAAATATCCAACAGCAGCTGCGATAAAGCCAAAAAACTGATAGCACGTACGTTCCTTTGCTCCATTCATCTTGCTTACATCCACATAATGAGATGAGTCAAGTGGTGATATAATATAATCGGCCTTATCCTGTGTTTAGCTTATATGTGACAGACATTCTTCAGAGTACCTGCGTTCTGGAGCCCAACTGACTGAAACTGTTAGAGCAACATTGTGGAGGAACATAAACCACATGAACTGAGCCTGTTCCACTGAGAGCTTCACCCAGAATAGCCTCGTCTCCTAAGCTTGTGCTGAATCACTCTACAAAGTTGGCTTTCCAGCTCATATACTGGTACAAACACAAAGCAGGGTTAACTATACATGCATGTGCATGCTAGGCCAAACACACAGAAAGCACAGCAAAGCGTACACAGACAAATCCCAATATCCCATAAATGCACAAGAATAACTGCACAAAGGTGAGGTATAGTTTTTGAGTTGTGAGAAACTGTTGTCTGACTGCAGGATTAAAATGACTGATGCTCTTGCAGATTACTCGGTGTTGTCTCGGTATCATGATCAAAAAAAAAAAAAAAAAAAAAAAAAAAAAAACCTGCAGTGACAGTCTGCAGCAGGCCCTGCCGTGCCACGGCAAAACCCAGCTGGTTTACAGCTGCACTGAACAATCGCTGCTTTTCGATTCTGGCCAATTGAGGTAGGTTAGGTGTTGATTCATGACTGGACACATTATAGTAGTGACCCCATTTCGGTGAGATGGCTTTAAACCACCAATGATTGATAGATTTAATTTGGTCTTAGCTCACTTTAGACAGAGCACGAACACATTCACAGTGCACAATGTGTGATATTTATTTTGCTGCACCTGGGACAAAGTCTCTAATTGTTTCCTATTGCAGCCGCAAACTTTAATGTCTTTCATTCAGATTTTATGCGATGGACCAACATAAAGTGGAGCACAGCTATGAATTTAAAGACTCTTCACTGATAAAATGAAAACTAAAATCTGAAAAGACAGTGTGCGAAATGCAGTACCCTTGATTCTGATACTCCTATCAAATCCAGTGCACAAAAGTGTCTTCAGAGGTCACTCAATTAATAAGAGTGTGAGAAATTTATTCCCAGCATAAATCCAAAGAACGCTCTGAAGGCCTCAGAGTTTTCTACAAAGTATTGACTATCATCTATAAGACATAATTAAAGCCATGCATAATTTCCTTTCACTTAACACGAGCAACTACGAGAGGATCCATCACATAAAATCCTGTGGTAATGTGTCAAAATTATCTTCAATGTAAATTCCAGTGGCGTTCTGAGCTAAAATACACATTAAAATCTGGTTTAGATGCAAAATTAAAACAGATCTGGATTTATGATTTGGAACACATAACAGATATGCCATAATGTGCAGTTCCACACCAGCATCAGCATATTCCCATAGTAATGTTTCTATTTCCTTCAAACCATAAGCACAGCATTTACCATTAAAAATAATCTGCCATGACCTCCGTGTGATGACATCCTAAGAGCTGCCTTACAGTAATCCCCAGGTTGGGACCAATAAATCGCTCAGTGACTCAAAAGTTGCGGTCAACCTGGGGGAGAGAATGAACTCTATTTTTGGCAGAGTCTTAAAGCAAACAAATCTGGAAGATTTAAGAATGGGGTTGTCTGGGCCACAGGAGGGTCTGTGGAGGAAAACGTGTTCAAAGTGCACCATCGTGTGGTGGAAAGTAAACATTTGTCTTCTCAAAGCACTTTGCTCCAAATATAGTCATGCATTTCCTTTAAAAGGGCACAAGTTTCTAAAAATAGACTGTTGCGTGTTTTTCTGCAACATGTCTGAGAGATTTGTAATACTTTTTCAACTTTTAAGGAAGCTTTAGAAAAACAAACCCAGTTACAAAGGAGATGGAAATATTGGATATTGCACCATTTGTGACTGAAATGAAATGATTTATAAGGCTTGAGGATATCACTGACCTGTATTTGCCTGTCCTGACTTGCACACCTTTCATGCCACAGTACTGGGCCCCTCCTACATCGTTCACAAGGTCATCTCCAATCATAAGAGCCTGAAATTGTGGCGAAGAAGAGAAGAATATTGGTGCGTAAACTGTGAGTGCTTAATGGTTGCAAAATGTTGTGTACCGATCTTGTGAGTAAATATTTTAAGATTTCTTTTTTTAAATAGCAATAGAACAAATGGATGGACAGATAGAAAAATAGGTAGATTGATGGATGGATAAGAAAAATACAGATGGATAGATGACATATCTATGATTCGTTAAATGCAGAAGTGGGTGGGTGGACGGACGGATGGATAAATGTGAAATTGGATGGACAAAAAGATGGATGATCGGACTGAAAAACGGATGAGCAAATTTGCGGATTGAAAATTTTACAATTGGATGGACAAATGGATGAACTGAAGAACGTACGACCATAATTATCCAGATCAGCAAATGACTAAATAAATTTATCACTTTGTGCAGGAACCACATGATTATAAGTCGGTCAAATCAAATTCCTCTTAAATTTGAAGTCATATTTGACCCAACGAATTAGTGTAATTTTAAGGACAAATCTTCATCGGTGTGCTCTGACAACATGCAGGACCATTTCTTGTTACTTACCTCTTGTGGTTTCAGTCCCATGTCACTGAGAACACTCTGGAAGAACGTTGGTGATGGCTTCCCAATTACTTCTGCTTTTAAATCACAAGCATACTGGAAAGGAAAAGAAACTTCAGGTTATAAGCAGGATGGCATTGTGACAGAATTATGTCTTACTGCCAAACTGAACAAGTAATACAAAAAAAACATACCTCAAGGGCCTTCATGTAAACACCAACATCTAGTTTTAACCCATCTGTCTCCTTGTAGTATCTCCTAAGAAAGCGGTGAAAAAAAAGAATCATAAGCATTTAGCTAAATCTGTGAAATACATTCAGTCTTGTCTTGCGTTTGAATAATTTATTACCCCTGGCCAAGGGAGAATAACACTGGCTTTTCCAGTCCTATCAAAACCCTAAAAGCCTCATTTAAGTTCTGGTATGAGAAGTTTTCTGCTGCGTCTCCAATGATCACACAGTTTGGGTTGGTCTTATCTACGGCATCAAACTCAGGGAGAAGTCCTGCAAAAAACAAACAAACAAACAAACAAAAAAAGAACAAGTCATATTTGAATGAGCAAGTGAGGATTTGTTTTTAAAGATTAATAGAACTATTCCCTTTATTGCTTTATTAATGTTTAGATCGATTACTAACTCCACATTAGGAAGCTGATCAGAGTTGAAGGGTAGATGTATGGATCAACTCAGACCATGCAGAAGAATAGCTTCATGCTGCTGCCACCACTGGCCACCATGAATACAGGGTTGTGGGATGTTCAGAGGGATATGCAATCTCCAGCTTCTTAAGATTTTCTCGGCTTTATTTATTTAGCTTTTTTTATTATTATTATTATTTTAGGATATTTACGCGCATTACCGTCATGCACCAGTAGGTGGGGCCTCAAACCCCGCTCCTTGAGAACAGCAATGGTTGCAGGGGCAGGAGGGAAGACCTCGGATACAGAAATGTCAAAGCCCAGTCTTTGGAGTTTGGCTACGAACTTCTCTCTGGTTGCCTGGGTCTCATTGGTGCAGAAACGCAGCTCCAGGTCTGATTCTTTGAGTCTATAAAAAAAAGCAAGAGTGATATGAAGGTTACTGGGAACACAAGAACAGGCAACACAAAGTTTGCCTGTTCTTGTGTTGTTGTCATAAATGGCTAAATCAATGCAGAATGCACACATTGCATACACAACTTTTGACTTTCTACCCCATAAGAAAATGCGCACTACCGTCGTAAGTAAGACACGATTTCTTCGCTCCGTGGTATATGAACTTTTGCAAAAATAAACTTTAAAATCTCAAACAACGCCACAAGCAAACAGTCATACACTCACCTTTTCACAGCCTCTATGGAGCCAGGGATAGCAACTCCGTCTCCCTCCCCGCTGTCATACAAAACTCCACACAAGTCCAAAATAACACCTTTCAAACTCTTCGCACAGCCTGGCCAGCCTGTGTCAGCCATGACGTTCTGTGAACTGCGCCTGCGTGACCCGTAACGTGGCGAAGATAACCTGTATGGAATTACAACAGTGCCATGAAAACTAAAAAAAAAAAGAAGAAAAGTCTATAAATGCAAAAGAGAATATGTATGTAAATATGTTGGCTTTAGGTTAAATAAAAGCAACAAAAGTAAATCAAAAAAGTGTGAATATATAAAAATATACTATGGTTGAAGCCACTATAACCCATAGTGTACACACTACATATTATAGTGTATACTTTCATAGAAAGTGAATACATATTTCTTCTTACAGTGTTTTATGGTAGTTGGTAGACCACCTATGAAGGTGGACAGAAAAAAATATCTTCATCTTTTATTTCAACTATAAGGTATGGTAAGAAATGACTCCATGAAAATATGCTGTAAAGATTTAGTTTAGTTTGTTTAAGGAGGACTAATAATATCTGAAGAGATGCATTTTTTCATCAGACTTTAGGTCTTTGAGCTATTTTCCATCTGCAGTCCCTAAAATACAGAACAACAGTGTACATAAAACTACGTAATTTATACAATTTAAAGACAGTGCTATAATATGTGCTATAATAATATTGAATTTTGAACAAATTACCAAGGATTATTTTGGATTCACCCTAACTCTATGTTGCTTATTGATTCATTCTTATATTTTGTTTTTATACAATACAATGTTTTTTTTTGTTTGTTTTTTTTTTTACATTGACTGTAGTTTTTTTTTTCTGCCTTTTTAAATTAACGTTAGCCTGTAGAATTTCATCTACATTCTTTGGCTCTAATAGGACTCTATAGAGCCTCACGTGGGATTTCATTCATGCATGTGGCTTTTAGTCATTTTCGAGATCGTTACATAATACCTAACTTTGTGACTACCAGTTCTCGTTAGATAAATAATATTAAGTGGCATAGATACTTAACAGAATAGATATTATGTATAATATTATGGAATAAATGTTAATTCTGGTAGTTAGGTATGGAGTATATCGGCGAAATCATCAGCTAAGATTGCACAATGGAAACGTGCGTCTCCACTGACGTAAGCACGCACAAAGAACCCCAGCGTTGGCACGTTGGGCAGTCAAATAATCCGCATCGGAACAGCACAAGCATTATATTTTTCAGCTGGGTGAGTGAACATCAACAAAGAGGGTTTCCGAACTGCTTTCTGTTTACACAAGGTACATTTTCCATCCTTTTTTTCTTCTTTGTTTTATTTTTGATAGACTGAGTTTGAAATATTGATCGAGACCAGCAGGAAAAAAACCCCCAAAAAAACAGAACAACTGATCATCACCACAAGTCTCTGAACAACTGGTATCATTAGTCTCGGGAGGGAGGAGACGCGGCTATTCATACGGTTGACGTTCATTTTTGAACGCATTTTGTTATTTTTTGACATTGAATGCGGGCAGTTAGGTTTTCTGTGAGGCTCTTTCAGGTCTTCCTGACATGTAACCGCTCTGGAAATTTACTAAGAGATACTCCGTGTTGCATAATGTCTGGATGCTAAGGATTGAACAGTTCTCCGTGGAAACCGGTTTAAAATGATCATGCAGTTCTTTATTTAGCTTGGCACCGTGAGGTTAGTGGGTGCTGTGGAGGCAGCTCCTCAGGAACCTATCAGCTGTTAGGGACTGAGGGATGAGCCCAGGCTCAGGCCATCTCCCCGGTAGAAGGTGTATGTTTGCTTTATTGAAGTTTCAGCTCATTGATTTACAAACTCTGCTATCTTCATTTAAAGGTGGATTTCAACACTTTAAAGAGGTAGCACAGGTAACATAGCTGATGAAATATTTGAGGTCGTGTACAGGTGCCAACAGGTTGGTGGCTGGCATGCCTTAGATACTGCAGCTTTCCTCAACTTTCAGGATGTCAACTACTTTTCTCCCCTTTCTTTCAGGAATTAAACTCTGCAATACTCATAAGTTGAAGATTTATTTATTATTTCAGGTGTTTATTTTATTATTATTTATATGTATGGCTTATAACTAATGTAAACCCAAAATTTGGTTCTTGGATAATTAGAATATTACATAATGTGTTTTTCTTTTTTCTTTCTTCTTTTTGGCTGATTCAGTGCTGACTGTTCAGAATGAGCCTGCATTTAAATGTCCAAACCTCCTAAAAGTTACACTATCAAATCAAGTCGTTTTTCTTCTTTCAAACCAGAGTTGAAAACTTTTCATTTCTGTGCAAATGGAAAAATCTGGAGCTGCAGTGTTGCTGCTTTTGTTAACCGGTAGCCAGTCCCTTCCTTTGTGTTGGACATGAAAGAGAAGCTTGGTTCAGCAGACCTGCAAATCCTCTGTGATCTATGGAAACCCATGTAGCGATAGACTTCTTTTTAACCACTTCTGTTTGGTTCATTTTCTCCAAGTCATTATGTTGTCTGTATGTACAAATATTGACATAAATTAATTAATTTGTTTGAAAGTAACAACCATCCCTACTGTAAAATAAAATATGTCCAGGATAATCTTCCAGCCCAGGAAGTTTTTGATGATCATGTTTTTAGTAAATACTATCGTATCCCTTTCCCACAGGTACTTTTGGTATTTTCCTCTCAAATCAGCTTTGATTAACCAGTCTCTCCTCCACCTTCTCGTATCTGCTGGAAACTAAACTTGACACTGCAGAGTTCGCAGGGCTGAACAAATTATTTAGGTCCTATGTTTAATTAAGCGTAAAGCAGAGACAAGATTTCAGATTGTGCTGCTGAGAGGCGTCGCTAGCATGGGAAGCATGCAAAGCCCTTCTTTTCATTCTAATCCTGTAAGAAATTCGAAGCAGTTGTCGCTAAAGAAAAAAACAAACAGGATAATGAATTAAAGTTGCATCAAGTCTGTGCTAGTCTCAAGACGAGCGACAGAATATCTGGAAAATATTCACAATTGTCAATTTTGTTAATATGGCATTGGGTGCAAATGAATAAGTACACATGTACAGTGTTATGTTTGGAAATAGCATAACAGTAATGTTTGTTAGAGCTTCCCTCAAAACAAATTCACACAGTTTCATGTCTCACTAATTGATGAACTTGCAGATATATTACAGCAGTTCCAAAACAGACTACTTTCTGTGACATTTGCATTTTGCACAATTTAAATGTCATATTTTACATTTTGCTACAAAAACTTAAAATGTGTTCCCACTGAATAAGTATCTTCACAATCACTTTAGATATCAAACCTCTTCTTTTTCTTCTTCTAATTCCTATTTCTGTGCCCAACCACACAAAACAGCAAGCATGAAGGGAATGATTTTTCAACTCGGGAGCCTGAGCCGTGCTGGGCTGATTCTCCGCAGGAGCATCCATACACGTCTACGCCCCGCCGCCGTGACCAAGCTCACCTCGGAGGAAATCTACGCCCGCGAGGAGAAGCACGGGGCACACAACTACCATCCGCTCCCTGTGGCCCTGGAGCGAGGCGAGGGTGAGTTCATGACCAAAACTTGCAAATCTTCTATGAACAATGCTGATCCACATCGAAGAAGAAATAATTTTACTTTTTTAAAACATTTTTTTTATGCACTAAAGGCATCTATGTGTGGGACGTGGAAGGCAACCGGTATTATGACTTCCTCAGTGCATACAGTGCAGTAAATCAGGGTCACTGCCACCCTAAGATCGTCTCTGCGCTCACCAAGCAGGCGTCTACCCTCGCCTTGACTTCCAGAGCGTTCTACAATGACGTGCTCGGAGCCTATGAAGAGTACATCACCAACATGTTTGGATATGACAAAGTTTTACCCATGAATACAGGCAAGTCCTGAAGTTCACCTTGGGATGGGTCTTTCAAATTTCTTTGACATAAAATCTAAAGGAGCTCCTGCTGTTACTTACTTACTTTTTATTTTGTATGAAATTAGGGGTTGAAGGCGGTGAGACGGCCTGTAAGCTTGCCAGGAAGTGGGCCTACAACGTGAAGGGGGTTCCAAACAATAAGGCCAAGATCATTTTCGCGGGCAAGTCGCCATCCTGTGTTGGAATATTTCAACACAGGAAATATTCCACCAAATAGCTCACCAAACTCCAAACTTTGCCTGGAGTTTGGTGAGATTGTTGCTGAAGCTGTATTTCGCTCTCTTTGTTTCTTCAGAGGGAAACTTCTGGGGTCGCACCTTGGCTGCCATCTCCAGCTCCACTGACCCCAGCAGCTACGAGGGTTTTGGGCCGTACATGCCCGGGTTCGAGCTTGTCCCGTTCAATGACATTCCTGCTCTAGAGGTACAGGTTCTATGGGGTTTTCTTTAATTTTTTTTCTTATTTTTTATTGTATTTTTTTCACTGAACAGCTTAGCTTGTGCAAATGCAGTTCCCATCAGCTTAGTTTAGGGTTAACTTGTTTTGCAGAATGTTGAGAAACATTGACTCTGAGTTGAGACATTGTCTTTCCACGGATTAATGTGTGTAAAAAATCTTAACTTGCTTTTTTGCCCCTCCCTTTCCCTAGAAAGCTCTTCAGGACCAAAATGTCGCCGCCTTCATGGTGGAACCCATCCAAGGAGAAGCAGGCGTGGTTGTGCCCGATCAAGGCTACTTGACTAAAGTCAGAGAACTTTGCACAAAATACAATGTAAGTCCATATGAAGGCACTAGAACTACAGGGTATAATGACTAGGTTGACGTTAGTATCAAGGATATCTTAAAAACCTCCACCTTTATGCCAAAGAACTAAGAATGTTCATGTTTTTATATGGTATAGTGTCTACCACAGCTGTCTGCTGTTACAGATGGCAAGGTGCAACTGCAACTAGCAAGATTTAAACAGAATCTACAGTATTATTTTTATGTTATTTCCCAGGTCTGGATAATTATGGAAATCGAGAAGAGAGCATGGAAGAACATCAGCATTTTTCCAATCTTATTAAATGCCCCATTTAAAAAAAAAATTGTATCCATCCTTTCAAAATCAGTCCATTTGTTCATCCATCCATTTGTCAGAGATAATGTTGAGTGCTTGCAGCTTTTATGCAAAGTAAGTTTTTAAAGTGTTTTTACATGCCTGTAAGGTGTTTGACGGTTAAATGTTTTTAGATATACCCCTTTGGGCCGTACATGCCCGGGTTCGAGCTTGTCTCGTTCAATGACATTCCTGCACTAGAGGTACAGGTTCAGGTGTGTGTAGAATACACACACCTGCACAACCACCTGCTTTTGATTTGACATCGGCAAATTTTTTCCAAAACATTTTTGGACGGTTGGACTTCATTTCTCCTGCTAGGAAAAGTGATCTTCCTTAATATTCTCTGTTTAATTTTAAGCTGCCAACAGATATAAATCGTCCTTCAAGGAGAAAACAAATCAAAGTTTTTTTTTAAGCTTTATGAATCTTGCTTTAATGTAAAAGGAAATCTTCCTTTTAAAAATTCTCAACACCAAAATAAAAAAAACCCTGAAATTTTGTGGAAACTGAGCGTGAAGAATGAAAGGCACGAAAGTAAATTAAATATCAGAGTTTGATAAGATTCTCAGTTAAGAGGCATCCAGCAAATACTTCTAAGAAGAGACCGTTTCCGTGACCACAGCATGTTCTTTTCCCTAGAAAGCTAACATTGTGTGTGGGAAGTGCTGCAGATGGATATTTTGTAGCTGTGTCAGCAAGCACAGAGATTAACTTTCTAAGCGACGTGTAATCGTAGTTCCTGGCCCCAGGAGCGGACTAATTTACTGAGAGATTTATTCAAACTTCTAAGACCCAAATTGCAAATCAAATCTGAATTGGAGCCGTTTCGAAGATATTGCCAACGAGTATTTGCTCAAAGAAAGTTATTGGCTGTGTCTCGAGTCCCGGAATGATTTTTATCCTTTTGTCCATTTCCAAACTGTTGCCAACAACAACAGCTGCTAGCCTCACAGGGAATCCTTGGCTGTGGTTTAGTGTGAAACGGCCTCAGGTGATCTTACTGCTGCATCAAAAACTGATCAGAACCGTGCTGACCGTGACAACATTACTGAGTGTAGATGTTTCTGTAGTCACTAAAAAAAAAAAAAAACCCTTGTGGTTTTTGCAGGTGCTGTGGATCGCTGATGAGGTCCAGACGGGCCTGGCACGGACTGGCCGGCGCCTGGCCGTCGACCACGAAGGTGTTCGCCCGGATTTGGTGATTCTGGGCAAAGCTCTCTCCGGTGGAGTTTATCCAGTGAGCGTCATCTGTAATTTCATCAAGATAACACTTGATAAGATAATCAAGATAACACTTGATTACACCCATGTCGACTTTAACTTCAGCTGTTTTCGATTCCCTTAGGTGTCTGCAGTACTTAGTGACAATGATGTAATGCTGACCATTAAGCCCGGGGAGCACGGATCCACATACGGAGGGAACCCTGTGGCTTGTCGTGTCGCTATCGCAGCTTTGGAGGTGAACATTTTGCAGCAGTTTTAACTTTAACGTTGTTTTTGCCTTTTTAAGTATTCCTCTATATTAAAAGTGTTTTATCTGAGCATCTGTATTAAACCAAAGTGTTTTTTTTATTTTTTTATCCCCAGGTGATGGAGGAAGAGAAGCTTGCGGAAAACGCTCAAAGGATGGGAGAACTTTTGCGGACTGAGTTGAAGAAACTACCCAAAGACATTGTGACAACAGTCAGAGGGAAAGGCCTCCTCAACGCAATTGTGATCAAAGAGACTAAAGGTGAGGTAGAAAACAATTTCTGAGAGAACAGAGACCAAGCTTTGCATGAGTTAAAATGTTGGCAAATACCGTGCTTGCTAAAATAAAAAAAAAAAACCTTAACTAATGGAGAACTGTCCGTTTAGCCCTGTCACATCAAGAGTTTTAAATGGACCATTGCAACACCTGACGTTCTATATATTGAACTTTACAAGTCAGTAAGTCACTTTGTCTTCCGCACTTACAGACTACGATGCCTGGAAGGTCTGCTTGCGCCTTCGGGACAACGGACTCCTGGCTAAGCCCACCCACGGGGACATCATCCGACTGGCCCCGCCTCTGGTCATCCGAGAGCATGAGCTCCGGGAATGCATCGACATCATTCAGAGGACCATCATGTCCTTCTAAAGAGATAAGAAAACGCAGCCCATACCTTCTGAGGCCAAGGAAGGCCACACGTGATGTTTTAGTCGCTTTCATTTAGATTCAGTTTTTCCTTTCGAGGCTGTTTTCATGCTCTTCGAAAGAATCGTTAGTAAGAATTGTATGAAGATGCACAGACACCTTTGTAAGAGTAACTGCTGCAGAAGAGAGAGAGAATAGAGTTTGGTTTCCTAAGGAGAGGTTGCAGGAAGATCTTAAACTTTTGATGTGCTTTAGTTTACCGTGTGTGATTTTAACTATAAATAATTGTGTGTGTGTGTGTAGAAACAGTGTTACTACTGAAGCCTATGGTCTGGTCAAGAAGGGAAAAGACCTCCTATAGGACAGTGAAGCAAATGCACCTTTTTTTTTTCAATGTAAATCATCTTAAGCTCCTACCACACAGGTTGAGTAAGGTCTAACCGTCAGTCTTCCACCATCCTTTACATTTAGTCTGATATGTTAACATTAAGCCGTGTTTGCGTCTACAGCTCCAACTCTAGTAGAACTTACCCAATAACAGGTTATCATTTAAGTGTTTACACTGCTGAATTTCTTTGAGCTTGACTGCTTTCTGCTGACACATTCTGAAAACGATATTGTTACAAAAGAGGTCAAAAGTCTACATATCTTGCGATTTAGGTTTTTCTCTCTTTTATATATATATATATATATATATATATATATATTTTATGTAATTGTGCATTTGCGCTGTAATTACCACTTTTGAAAACTAAAGTTGCAATAATTCATAATCCAACTGACCAAATTTCATACGTTCTCTCTATAACCGTTGTTGCTGCCGCAAAAAAGAAAATATGCGAGAAGCGTCACTTCCGAGGCTGCTTTAGGATAAATGAAAGAATGTTTGGATGTCAGTGGCTTAGTTTTAACTATTTGCTGTCTGTGCAGGATGTATGCGAAGATGGTCTTTTTGAAGACACCCGACATTAAATTAAAATCCTTTTTTTTTTTCCAAATAAATTGTTTCAACAGTCTCTTGCTACTCTTTTTTTTTTTTTTTTTTTTTTGAGCGAGGAGCCAAAGTTGTTCAGTTTGAAGTTAAATTAAATTAAAACTCACCCAAAGGGATTTTTAGAAATAATTTTTATTTTTTTTTATTTACTTCTTTGCTTTTTGTACAGAAGTCTTTTAAGCAACCTTATTTTATTTTATTTTATTTTTTGCTTCAAACGTATGTAGTTACAGAAGGATTAAACAAAACAAATGACTTATTGATGTACCAGTTCCTATCAAATGTGATCTCAAAGCAAATTTAAACACATATTATCAAAGCAACACAATCATGTAGACATGAATTAAAACATTTTTGCACTAAATTAAGTCTATTATATAAGTTTAGTTAAATAAGGGAAACTACAGGAATCTTCAGTGTGTCTACAGAATAAGGAATGTACAGGTGCATCTCAATAATTGAAAAATATCACTAAAATAAGTAAATCTGTTTAAAGGTGGATCTGCTTTATGATATAGATTTACGACTACTACCTATAAGAATTCTTTGTTAATTTCTCATAGGAAAAATGCTAAATTGTCAAGCAGACAGTAATTGATGACAACCTGCAAGTCTCAAAAGGTAATTGGTAAAGATGCTGGCTGTTTGCAGAGTTGCTTTCGTCTAAAAATGTTAATGGAAAGTTGAGTTAAAGAAGAAGAAGAAGACAAAAAAAAAGAACAAATCACAATGTTGATTAAAGCCCGTTAAGAGTTTGAGGAGATTCACAAGAAGTGGCAAGGAGCTGGAGCTGGAGCACCAAGAGCCGACACACACACACAGACTTAACCAGGATATGAGTAACCACTGTTCTGTTGGCTGCTCCTGGCAAAGGGCAAAAAGAAACTGTGGCTCAGATCCAGGAATTAAAAAAAAAGAATCAAGTTTGATTTGGGAGCCATGTGATCTGCTGCTGTTGGTAAAAATGTGTTTTATTAAATTCAAAGTCAGTGACATGGTTTACTAGAATATTTTTAAAGCACTTAATGTTTCCCTCTGCTGACAAGTGTTATGAATCTGCTAATTTTATTTTCCCTGGCGGACTTTGCCTCTTCCCCAAACTGTCAAAAAGTAACAACACCAGCTTTTGCGATCATGGTGTTAATGTGTTTGATAGCAAATTTGTCCTAACCCATGGATCATTGTCCAGAGGAGAATGAGAGGAACCGGACCCAACACTCCAGACAAACGACAACCTGAGCTTCCTTCCACAAGATGGTCTTCTGTGTGATCATTATTAACCCGCTGACATGTTGGAAACATTTAAATATGTGATTTAATTTAACTATGTTTTTGAATTGTGAATCGAGCTTATGCTATCATTTGCCACTAGGTGGTGCTGTGTTCTTACCAAAGTAAATCCGCGCGAGGACTAGAAGGTGCGGTGAAGACGCCTAAAACGTTAGGAAAGGAACAGACTTGAGCTGGATTTTAGGAGAACCAAAACTCTAAAGAGCTGTCAAGTCAATATGTAGATGATTTTCCTCTCAGTACAACCAGTTAAAACGTGCTCATAAATTTCAACACCTTATAAAAATATTCACACCCCTCATCTTTTTTTTCTTTGCAGTGATTTACACTTGGATTTTATGAAAACAAAGCAGTATATCATTGTGAAACAGAACCAAAGGGTACATATTTGCATTTTTAAATATGAAATGCTTCATAGAGTCACATTTTGAATGAGATTTCTCCTCATTCCTCTTTGTCAACTAACTCAGGCTCTGTCAGATTGGATGAATTACAACTTTCAGGATAGAAAAAAAAAAGTCTATGCTTTTTGTGAATGCATTACAAAACAGAAAATAATGCTTGTAATAGTAGATCGATAAAGTTCGCTCAACCTTGTTTAATGTTTTGCACATTTAATGACGTACTCCTCTTTAAATGCTCTGTATCGATTTCGTCTTTGGAAACTTTCACTCAGCCAAGAAATGCTGAAATTATTTGCTGTAGGAATACATTTGTTGATTATGTTCTCAATCATAACATTAAAAGAAAAGAAAAAAAGCTGACATTCAGTTTTCCTCTGGTTGGACTCTGGTCAGCCCTGTAAGTATATGATCTGAAACCACAACAATTTAGAAAATGGCATGTTTTCTGAAGATTTAAGGCTTTTGTTACCTCGTTGTTTCTTTTTAAACCCCCAAATGTTTGGTAAAAGATCATTTAAAATGTACATGTATTTACAAGTTTACCATCAAACTATCTATTTAGTTCTGGACAAAAAAGAACAAAGCACTGCTGTCTACTAAGTACAGAGAGCACTGCAAAAGTGTCTATACCCCCTCAAAGACTGCATTGGGATTAGATATACCAGAAACCTACACAGTTTGGTGCATAATTGACCCCTGGCTCTCCCCTTCCCCAATAAATCATTTTAGCAGCGCGTACAGCTGCAAGCATCTCTCTATGTAAGCAAAGTAAGAAAGTATGTAAAAGTTTATATAGCACATTTCCATAGACAAATTCCATAATGCTTCACAAGAAAAATTGACCCAAAAAATTACACAGTCAAAGGAAAAGATAATAAAATCACTAAAGCATATTGCAAAACCTCAAATCTAACTAAAACCTGGAAGGAATTAAAATGTCCTTAAATGCACATGTCAAAATAAAAGGTCTCAGATAAAAGACAAAATGCTGCTAGATTTGTTGTTTGTTGCTTCTTTAAGTAAATGTTGTTGGAGAGTTTCTGAAAAGTCACCAATTATGGTGACAAAGTGGATAAGCTAGCATTTCTCATCCTGACCAGTCCTGCAGAACCCCACGCTTGCCCGTGCCGTTCAGTGTCTCTTGGCTCCGCCCACTTTCTTGGAAGATTTTCAAAATTTGCCAGAGGGCTTGGCTTTCATGGGAGGCTTAGTTGAACTTTCAGTTTTCAGTGTAAACTAACCCCCCTTAGCATAAGCCCACCCTGACACATTTTGAACAATTCCAAGAAAGTAGGCGGAGCCAAAAGATATATTGCTCAGATATAGAAATCACAACATAAAATAATGGCAAACTAAATGAATTGCACAAAAATGTCAATAATCACACAGAAATGTAAAGATAGAACCCAAAACGACCTATTTGGACAGCTTATTAGAAAAAAAAAGTTGATTTGGGGGTGAGTTTCACTTTAAATCAAGGGTAAAACCCCATTTGTTTAGAGTTACCTTTGTGTAGTAATCACCGGCACACAAATTTTATTCCAATATTTGTATGATGTAAAATACTTTGACTTGTTTTGCTGCTACGAATAGACTTGCCTTGCTTGAAGATGAATCTCTGCTCCACTGTCAAGATGACAGGTAAACTGTCGTTTTATCTTACCTTTGCTTCTGACTCATGAAAATCTTTTCAAAGCTAAAACTAAGCTGGGTTTTGTTTATTTGGAAACGGTCTGCTAGCACTGACATTTATCTAAAGGTCAGTTGAAAATAGAGAACATAAAGTCTGATTTTGCATTTAAAGAACCTCTTAGATCATCTCATAGTGATCTTTAAGAAATGCACTGCAAACAGAAACTTGAAATCACTCCCAAATGTAGCAGAAAATCCCCCCCAAACACATTAACATTTTTAGATGTAGCACAATAAAATATAAAACAGTTCTAAGATGTAAGGCTACTTGTGCTGTATTTTTTTTTATTATTTTCTTTAACTGAGCCTAGAGACGAACGGGTTTGTCCCGAGTTTGCTTGAGAAATATGAGTGGAATCCAGTTTGGCAGGAGAAATGAGCGTTATTACCAGGTGACACTGAGAAATGAGCAGACTTTGATCCTACACTCTGCTCAGACCCGCATCCTGCCTTGCCACGGCAGGAAGACACACTATATTCCACAAATGAGCTCCAGATTTGGCAGGGGGTTGACAGGCCTGCTGGCCCTGTGAGGAGCTGGGAAAACTTGAAGTCCGGCTCAAGGCTCGAACTGTCTTGGCCAAACCTGAGGATTCTCCCGCAGCTTCTTACTGCTTATCCCCT